GAGAGAGAGAGAGAGAGAGAAAGAGAGAGAAAGAGAGAGAAAGAGAGAAGAAGCGTTAGCCTTTGTGATTAACTTCGTCCGCGATGGGCCGGTGAAAGTATTCCAAGCAATGGACGAGTGTGACTCTAGTCATGATCAAATCTACATGATACCAGAGTGCACCCGTCCAACGATCGGAATATATTGTTCTGCACAATCAGAATGCCGTATAATCTGAAAAGCATTTGAACGAAAAATCAAAATCGGCGGCGCCTTACTGGTAGCGTATACAGCTCTTGAATGAAAGCCAAACAGCTGCATTTCGTATTCTTCTAGTTTACGTTTCCGCGATTCCGTAGATGCCATTATTGTTAATGGACTTCGAATACACGCGAACTGTATAATAATTTTAAGCGAGCACTGAATTAATCTTTATACTTCATCGAAGCAGTCTCGTTCCCTCCGATGATCACACCTTGACGTCCGTTGACAAATGAACATGGCGTCTATCTGCTTGCGTACGACAGCGTCCTTTGTCCCTTCGCGTTCGCTAACGCATCCGGATTTCGTCGCGGGATCCGTCGCCGTTTCAAAACCGACCAATCACACGTGAGGATCCGCCGCTGAAAATTCGTTACTCGAGCTATACCGGAAAATGCTTAAGCATCTCCATATTTATATTATTCTGTGTGCATTAATATACTGACATTTGTTGCAACAATATTTATTCACAGTAAATCACAAAATTCCTTTTTCTATGCACTCAATACCCTGCATTTTACGTAATTAAGTAAATTTACCGCCAACTGGTTTCACAATTTTGTCGAAAGATGGCGCACCAATCGCCATTTTGTAGAAGAAATTAAACTGCAAAATAATTTAGGATGTATTTAATAATAACCTTCGAATAATTTGTTTTATTTAATTTGCTGAAATTATTTCATGCAACACACGATTGTTTCATATTTTTACTAACAAATTTACAAAAATGAAAGAAATAATAAATAATAAATTTTACTACATTGAAAGCAAAATAAAAATTTTATTGATGTTCATTCAATTTTATTGTATACTGGATTTTTTATATCCGTGTATTTTTAAACGTATAAATTGGTGATTCATTTTTCAAATAAACTTAATATTTTATAAAATAAAACAAAAGTTACATTCTTAAATTTTTTATATGAAATAATTCTTATGCGCGGTCTAGTACGCATATTAAACTCACAATTTGATTGAGGTAACAATTTGGCGAAATAAATTATAATAAAGAATCTGCAAACAGGGAATGTACACATTTTCTATGAAATATGTTCTCCTGAATGAAGAATTTTACTACAAATGTACACCTAGTAAAGTTTCATTGTAACTTCCGAGGAGATAACTGTGTGATATAAAATAAGGGCTTTGTTTATTATCACAGAAAAGAAATGAAGGACCTCGTTCACCTGGCGGATACATAATTTAAATATTGTTTGATATGGGTTATCAGCAGCCTAGGATGCAGACACTTCCTTCATACAAAGTTCCCATGGTTCTTTAATATAAGAAACTCTAAAAAAGGGATTAAAAGATAACTCTATCCGTGTGAACGAATTTTGAAAAACTCGTATTCTATTGATATTTCTAAGTAATAAAAATATAATTTTTAGTCTATAAATCTAAAAAAGTGGTTAAATATAACTGGAAATTTTATACGAGAGGGTTCTTCAAATTATCAGTTTATATCTAGAATACAAAATCACACAATATATTCTTTTAAAAAAAATGTAAACCTTAAGCAAATTGTTATCTTTTCAAAATGAAATTGATGTTTAAAACTTTAATAGATCATATCTTAAAATGAATGATTCATATCTTATATCGTTTAACTTTACGAATGTAGTTATGCGTGTAGGAAATAATTATAAAATAAAACTGAATTTTTATTAAATTTATTAGGCATGTTAAGAAATGTTGAAATCTACACAATGCAATATGATTTAAGGAATGTTACTTTCAATCTCGACGACGTTTTCATTTGATAATATTTTCATTCATTTCTGTTTGTAGTTCTCTCAACCATACTGCCTTTATTTGACCTACTTTTTTTTATAAATTACAATATTGACATAGGCTAAAGCGATAATTTCAGGTGTCTCATTCTGTATACAAGGATATTTTCATAAATATGGAATACCCTTACCAATGACATCACCAGAATTTTTTGTACAAGTGTGACTCACTTCGTTAATAACTCACGCAATACAATAGCACACTATTTTTACGTTTGGTACTTCCTAATGCAATGTAAACCGCCATTTTCTTGGTAAATTAATCATGTTCAATGAGCGAGACGCTAAATTTATAGTCTGTAGTTTTTCCCAGGATGACTAGCTCACTTTGCCAAATCGACATGTAGACATTTATCATAATAATATTAAACCGCAATATGTATCCAGAAATGGAAGTGGTGTAACTTAAGAGCAGGGGTTTTTATATTACATGTCCCGATCCTTTAGTAGGTCGCAAACCAAATGTAATGAGTCATGACGTATAAAATAAAAATACACAAGAAGTTTAAAATTTACTTCACAATACATATGAAATAATGTTGTCGATAAATTAATATTTCCATAATAAATATATAACACTTTTCACCAGCGGTTAAATGAACAAATTAATTTACACAAAGCTTGTATTTAATTTAACGTAATTGCGTTATAACGCAAATGTAATATAACTATATTAGATCATCTACAATAACAGAGTAAGTCTCACTTAACTTACTAAAAACTAAATAGTATTAACTCTAAAACCGAGCTCATAAGTTCTGTAAAACAGAAATATGCAAAATTGGGTTAAAAGTGACTTGCTATTCGATTTAACTGAGACTTACCCAACCCAGACTTACCATCCTGTGGACTAGGGTTAATCGAAAACTACGATTGAAACCCAATGGGATCCTTTTCAATTGGCATAAGCGAAAAAGGTACGCGAGGAAGCGAGTGCTCTCTTCTCCATTCGTCTTGTGCACAATGACGAAGTGAATGGATGAATCGAAAGGGGCAGGCGTTCAACGAAAGCGGTCTGCGAACGCCTGGTTCTCGCGCGCCTCCATACTCATGCTTCATTCCCTTAGAATTCTGCACGGCCACGTAAATTCGTCATTTGTTACACGTTCATGGTTTTGTATGTCTGGTCACATAAATTCACGTTCAATCGGAAGTCTTCGAAGTACCAGGCAGGCCCGCCTCGTGTTCTTCGAACGACGATAAGTTATTAAGCAAATCCTACGCGTTGACATTGAGCATGATTCCTACACGCAGGAATGCTGATTGCGAGTATAGTAGGTTTGGGATTAGCGGAACGGGATTGGACTGGCACGCTTAACCGGGGTTTGGTCCTCGGTGATTCGGAGTCCTCGGATTAGGCCATTGAATTGTACAAGGTGTGTTCACAATACGGGAAATAATTTCTTGCAAATCGAGCGTAACAAATATTATTGGTTGTGCTCTAAACGAGTTGGAAGTGGTCCACCTGTTCTGTGTTTCTCAATGACATTCGGGTAAAATTAATGAATGAATTGTAATACCTTTCAGGTAGAACAGTTTTTTTTTAAGTCAGTATGTAATAAGTGAACTAAAGATGTTTATGAAATTTTCAGGTTTTAGAAATACATTTTTTATGACCAACAATAAACAGAAATTTTATTTTTTGTACAGAGTTGCAATAGGTATATTAAGAATATGAATAATGTTCTAAGAAATAGGATTTCAATGCTAACGTTATTGTATTCTACCTAGTTCAGAATAATTGATGTTAGATAGTAATTGATTGACAAGGTAAGCTGACTTACCTTGCGGGTTAGATATATCAAGGATTATATCTCAGGGATTTAAACGTATGGAGAACATATAACTTTTTAACCTATTAATTAATAGCGTCTAACACGAAAAGACACTTAACTCTTTTATTAATTTATGAATTATCGAGAACTATTGCACACATCTTTTTAAAGTCAATACAAACTGGCGGACATTTTTAAACAAAAATTTTAAAATACATATACTGTAAAACCACCCCTGTATGGGAGGGACAAAAATAATTATTTACGATATTACTTAAGCAAACTTTAATTACCCGTGATCCTTTTCGTCGTTTATTTAAAGGAAACATTTAATTCTGTAATGTTACTTAGTTCAGAAACTACGACTATTTTGGTACCATTCAACCGAACGTCCGTAACCGATTAAACACAGAGAATTCGCTTGTCATTTGCAAAGGAAATACATTTCTGATTTACCATTTCTTAAAAGTTATTCAAATATCTGTCGAATTAATGCAGGGAGAATTTGTCTGTGTGTGTTCGGTGTACACAAGTGCGGGCGCGTGTCACGTTGAACCATGTGTCCATTGCGCAGCTAGACGGCGCAGGTCCCCGTAAAAAGCCGGGGGCGCGATTCCGTCGCCGCTGTTCGGATACCGCGCGCGAGTTCCTTCTCTCAGTTTGTATTCAGTATCCACCTCGTATTGGTGGATACGTTCGGTTCTTAATTCAGTTCAACGAACCATTCGTTCTGCGAGCCGCGAAAAAACCGTCCGAAAGTACACGTTCTCTTGACCAAGGTAACCGAGTTCAAGGCGCCAGTAGTGCCAATTCTGTGCGATTTGTTTTGACAGTGGTTTTCAACGGGTTACGAAACAATATGCTGCCGACGCGATTTGTTGGTCTACTGTTGGTGCTTTTCGTCACGCAGGGTATGTTTCAAAATTATGTAAATGTTAAATGTTACTAGACAATGTTTTATTTTATTTTGATTAATCGAATGGGAACGAAATGGCCATTGTCGATGGTGCATCGATACTCGATGACATGCTCCTTTTTTGAAAGGTTTGTTACACGTTACCGTTGGTAACAGAGTAAAGCATTGAAATTTGAATGGTACCTGTTGTATTTCAATGCACCCCTGACCTATGAGTTACTGACATCTAAGTTTCCTGCGAATAATCGATTTCGAACGTGACAACTTGTTGAATATTGTGGTTGGTAAAGATGTCCATGGAGAGTTTTTTATTTATGTCTAATTAATACAGTTTTATACGTGCAGGGTGTATATTAAGCAATTTAATTAATTCGGTTAATGGATTTTTCTTGGACGTCTGCGACCACTTCGGTTAATTGTATTCAGCGAAGCCGCTTGTTAAATTTTATCAACAATAATCGATATTAGATAAATTCCCTTTATTAAAATCATCTGTTATTCACGATATTTTACTAGATTATCGAAATCGATATAAAATATGAATTCTTCTGTGTTGTATAGTACACGGAAAATTTAAAGAGACCAGTACGTTCCTTATTAAAAATCAAAAACGTGAAGTTCAATGAAAATCAAATCATTACCTTTACCACTAATTATTCTCCCCTAATTGTTCTGCACAGTTATTTCTCCATAATAATCTTCGCAAAAAGCGAAGAAAGTAAAGATACGTCTCGCCATATGATATTCTTTTGAAAAGATGTTACTATGTCATTCAAAAAAAATGTATTCAATCTTTTATTCAGTTAATTAAATTGTATTGATTAAATCGGCATGTCATCGATTGCGAAGATATTGATAGTCTTGTCCAATTTGAACCATGTAGTCCGTTAGATGTAACGAAGATCGGAGGCGTGTAATGTGGGGTTCATTTAGCTAAATTATATTTAGGTATACGTACTCGATGTCGTGGGCGATCGAGGAAGCTTGTAGCTAGGAAAGTTTAAAGCCGGCAGGATCTCGGATCCACTTGTCACGATAATTTCGCATGCGGCACGAATAACGAACAGTTACCTCACCGTCCGTTCCGTATAAGCGGCTGTAACAATAGTTACCATTGCGGGTAACATCGGCGAGCAGAACTCGTAATCGTTGTTGCGGAAGGAACAATTACTCGGTCTTAAAAACGCTTAATTACTCTTCCTCGTACGGTGAACCGACGCGGGCCGCGTCCACCGTCTCGATAAAGTTATAATTGCGGGCAACTTTAATCATTGTCTCCGAGCTGTGTCAGGTTCTTCGCCGCGAACTGGTGTCGTATGAATAATTCCGCAGTCTCGACCTCTTAACAATTATAAAATTTTCCGGAACATAAATAAAAAAGGTTTCCCCCGCGGGACCATTTCTTCGGTAAAACTAATTAGTAGGCTAATTTTTAAAGGACTAAATTGGACATGTTTATTTAAATGTATATTTGTAGAGGAATTCATAAAGTTAGAGATTTTAAATTAATTTTTTCTGTTATAGAATTTGTTTGGTGAAAAGTTGAGAAAATTACTGTGTTTGATATAAAATGTAAGTGTAGTGGAGAAATAATTATATATTAATGATATCGTGAGTACGTATTTATTGTAAATATTAAGTTCCGATAAGAGACAGCTAACATATAATTTCGATTTAATCGAGAGGCATAATATTCATGTTTATTAGGCATGGTTGAAAATCTTTGTCACGGGTTTGCCTCGTGATATTCTAAGCGAATGGGTTAATTGATTGAAGAGCGACCGTGAATAAGGGAACACGTTCATTCACGCAATTTTTTCGTCGACCGTACGTGCCAGTTGATTCTTTGTGCTTCAATTTCGCTTATTGGTTACTCACCACGCGGTCCAATTTAGTTCATCGTTTATGCAGCCACATAGCATTGAAGTCACTCGCTTCGCGAGAGGAAGGACCAATTGCTAGCGCCTACATTCTACTTCTGATAAGGCAATTGTTATAATATTAATCGTACCGCTGTACGTATGCGTGTGATATAGAGATTCTTGGAATATTATCGGTATGAGGTAAATATTTGGTTTTAATATGTAGAATGGTAACTATGTTTAAGCCGACCACTCTCAAATGATAAGAAATAGTTCAATCGTTCCATTCAACGTAGAATGAAAATAACTATGGAAATCCCTATATTTACAGACAAAAAAGTGAAGTTAAATAAAAGTTCATATCCTACGATAATAGTTCCGTTGAATAGAAAAAAATTAAAGTAAAAAGAAATTTATTTGGACAATCATTTAGATAAAATTCTCTTCAAATGATACTCAGCCGTAATCGCACAAATCTAGACACGCGTATCGCAGAAATATCCAGTGAACTTCGTTGAGTTCATCGAGCAAATAAAAGGATGCGAGCTTTCTTCGTGGTGTGAAACAGTGTGAACGGAGATACGATCGGGATCTTTGATATTGCTGCATTTTTCTCTCGCACAAAACCTTCGATCGCTTGAAGAGCCATCGGCGACACGCGGATTCAATCAGCCGGTACAAATCCTCCCTTCGTTGAACGAGCTTGACGCGCGTTCCGTTCTTCGCGTGTCTTGGATTTGCGGCCCTGAATTCTATCGTTCGGTTTCAGGGCAAACGTTGCTACGGCTGGTTAATTGTTTCATTAACATTCCGCGTAAACTACATTCCGGCGCATATTTAACCGCGTGCGTTTAACGCTCGATCGGCATGTGTTGTACGTGGCGAACGCGCGAGAAATCGAGTTTACGCGCAAACCGCATAGTTTACGTTGCTGCCGCGAACTATTCAGTGGAGTGTGCCAAATACGGTGGACAAGAGGAGGTACTCTGGTTAACGGGGTTCAAAAATACAATAGCTTTATTTATAGAGTTATCGATACATCCGAGTAGTAGTTAATCTTTAGAATATCAAAATGAGGTGGCAAATTACTTCGATAAGAAAATGTGTTAAGTAGATATTTCATAGAATCATTTCGATGTAAACACTGAAATATCAATTACTCCGTACTTTACATTTGAATATATGGCTGCTATATGCAAATTTACAAGCCGGTTTAATATTTAACATAAAAAATTAAGAATATATGTTATATATGTCGGTATATTTGAATGAACAGGTTTATTAGTATCAGTTCTATTACATTTCTGTTTTCCGCGTTAAATTCCAACGAGCATCGTTCAAAAATCCCAACCGACATTATAATCAGAGGACCACGCCATAGAAACTTTAAAGAACCAACTTCAAACTCTGACAACAAAAGATGAATCGCATTCAGGATCATGAATTACAACTTAACGTGCCCTGATAAAATACGCAATTCTATTGTTGAAGTCTATACGATCAAGACCCACTCGGAAAGCGTCGCGCGAAATCAACAATTTGCTCGTGGCGCGTATCGTCCATAATTACGTGTTGTTTAGCATAAGTCCCAGAGAGCGGAGCTGGAGTATCCTCCGAGCGAGATCCATTTCTTGCACGGCTGGTCCAGCTGTTGGCAAATTCCATTGAGAAGAGGGGTAGGACAGACAGAGGAAGGAAGAGGAGCGAGAGGAACACACACGCAGAGAGGGACAAAGAGAGAAGAAGCTAGTCAGACAGAGAGAAAAAGAGAAAGACAGTCAGAGAGAAGCCGAGTAGGCCTCGTATCGCGAAGCAAGCTGGTTCACAAAGAACCGGTGGCAGTAGTTGGCGGAGGCTGCTGAATGGCCCGAAAATAAGATAAACGAAAGTAACCTGGACACCGGCTTCGAGAGGGTGGGGGGTTAGGTGGAAGGGAACGCCAGGTGAACAGAGAAGTTTCAGGTAAGGAGATTGACCGACCGGGTGCAGATGGTCCGTAGGGATGAGGATGGAACGGCTGGTGGTATCCCGTGTCCAGCACACGGCATTCACAGATTTTTGGTAACTGGTCGGTGGCCTTCTTCTTCTTCACCTCCTCCTCCTCCTCTTCCTCTTCCACTAACCCGGCAATAGCCTTCCGCCGAACGATGTTCCATTTTTTCCGTAATAATAGGAGCGGCTTCTTCTCATCCCTAATACCACCGGCAACGTTCCAACTCGTTTCTCCGTACGTGACGAACATCCAAAGTAGAAGTCCGTGGCATCCTGTTCACGGACAATCCCACGAATCCTGGATAGAAAAACGGTATTACGGTAACGAGTCCGCCGCTTTCCTTTTTCTCTTCTCCTCTTTCTGTTTCTATTCTTCCCTTTCCTCCCCTATGCCTCGGCTCTTTTTCTGCTTTTCGTTCCACGGGATTGTTGATCCCGTGTAACTAGACTTAGACGAACGCGATAACATCGAAGGTCAATGGTCCCCGAGATAAGAGGCGATAACGTAGTTTGATAATGCCTGGATACCTAATGGTAACGCGCTACCGCGGCGATTTTTGCCGATTAAGGGTTTTTGTTTATCGCTTTGCCGGGTATCGAGCGGCGATTGTTGGAAGTTCAATGATGAGAACGGTGCTTTAAGTGGGTATGATTGATTTAGATCTCGTATGCGTTTGTCGTAAGGAAATATTTATGACAAAGTGATAAAAAGTGAAAGATCTAGACTTCGCGTTCGTGAGCTCATTTAATTTATTAGATACAGTTAAGGAATTGATCGTTGTTGTAGACACTAGAATCTCCGGATCAACGAAACGACAAATTTGACATTTTTTCGTGATAATTGTATGAATGAAAATGTCCATTTTCATCGATATCATGTGAATTTTTATTGTAGTGCGTGCGCCGATGCACTCATTCATTTTAACAGTCGGTTATAAAAATATTTGTATGGTAACTGTAAAATATTTGAAGTTCAGTTTTATCGTTTCGCCTGTTGATTTTAATAATTCGATTGACTAATCAGAACCTACATGTATTAATTATTTCTTGCGCCGTTCGGCGCATATTATCCGCCCAACAATTCCTAAATCGTTTCCTTTCGAAATACTGTGTAATTAACTATTCAACGTCCCATTGAAAG